AAAACATTAAAGGCCCCTGAACCATCAGGGTTGATGGAGAAGATACCACTGCTCTTTTCCCCTGAATTCAACACATCGCCACAATTTTTTACATCTGTATAAGGAACAACAAGGTGAAATAACCAGAAAAATATTAATAAACCTTCTTGCGGTTAATCCCAACATGAAGCTAAAGGACGAATATATGCAGTGTTGGGGAAACGTCATTCACGTGTAAACTTCCGGTTTGGCCATTTTTAGTAAAATTACCGAGGAGTAAAGTAAACGTAGCTGAGTATGAAAAGGGTCAAATGAACATTTACCTAGCCTTGTACATTTTGTTCCGTTTCCAATAAACCCAGCTTTACAGGAACAGTTATAGGAGCCGTAAGTGTTGTGGCAGTCTGCATTGACGTCACACACCCGAACGGAAGCACTACACTCATCAGTATCAGTTGGCAGGTTTTACAATATCGGAATAAAATTAAAATGAGAGCTACCAAGGGCAGAATTGTCCTAAATTAAAATGTCCTAAGGATAATACCCTCAAACTCTGTAACTCTGTAATTCTTCTCGTGATTTTAAGCGTAAACTTAGAACCAAATTATTTACTGCTTTCCTTTCTCATCGTTCTTAGTTATAACTTTGGCGAACATTTATCAACATTTATGCTTCCTTAATTTTTAGTACTGTAATTTTGTAATTTTTAGATTATTGTCACCGAAAAACCCTCTTTAGGGAGTGTCAATAAAGTTTGTATTGTATTGTATTGTACTGTATCGTATCGTATTGTATTGTATTGTATTGTATTATATTGTATCGTATCGTATTGTACTGTATTGTATTTTATTTTATTGCATTGTATTGTATTGTATCGTATCGTATCGTATCTATTGTATTGTATTGTATTTTATTTTATTGTATTGTATTATATCGTATTGTATTGTATTGTATTGTATTTTACTGTATCGTATTGTATTTTATTGTATCGTATCGTATTGTATAATCAAATCGAAACAACTATGAAAGGTCAAATAGAGAGACGTTTGCATAAGCATCCACTTTTTTAAAGTTATCTTTATTTCCCTGCTTTGCTGAAACCTTCGACAGGGCATTTCATCATCATTTGATGATTCCCAGGGCTTTTTCACCAAAATTAATAATGCTAACAGCTGCTCGAGAGGTGCACGTGGTAAAAAGACGCCGATCGAGAAGCTAAAAGTAGCATATACAAGGCCCACCCCTTCTCGCATGGCTTGATGGGTAATACTAAACCTGGCCAAACATTTATCGATGTGTCTCCTTACCGCTACAAGTTCTTCCATCCCCTTGATATCCAGCTTTGCACGAACAACTGTATGAGCCCACGTTGTTCTTGCAGTCAGCATTGGAGTCACAAACAGGGATAGAGGCGTTGCATTCGTCAGCATCGGTATAATTAGATTAAGATATTCATATGTTTTTTTTTTTTCGAAATAGAGAAACAGATTAGAAAAGCGGACATTTCTTCAAGTTCAATCCAAACTTACCTTCGATCGTCATGTCGCAGTGAAGTAGAACTGCTTTTTCAATACGATTCAGCCAATATTTGCCGCTTTCTACTTGCCTTCCTTCACTCGCCTTGATCTCTTTACAGGAATCAGCGGGGAGTTCTGGAATGGTGCCGAGGATGACTTTAAACAACAAGGAAAAAAAAAAGCCAAACTTAATTCCCGTCTATGGTAGTTAGTGAGATTGACTATTTTCGTTTAAATACTCACCTCTCTTCGTGTCTCTTTTGAGGTAATATCTCTCAGAATTTTGTACAAAATCCTCAGGTCTGGCTTCCTTGGTGCGATTGTTTAACTCACACTTGTGTTGGGTAAACACATAGTTAAAGCTTTGGCATCTGACGTCTTGATAACACTCCCATAAACACACATCGCCGAGTGCGACTCCAGTGATTATCTTAAAGATGTGTTTTTGTAGCATCATTCCATAGATGGAGGCTTCGTGTGTATCATTACAAGTTTGAATAACTGTTGCATAAATCATTTGCCACAAGACAATGAAAGCTGACAAGTACAGGAGCTGTTTGAAGACCATTTTTGTTCCTTTCTCTAGGAAGGTAATGTGAAATTTTATTAATGTCGAGACAAAGGAAAAAATCAATTCAAAATACTTTTTACCTGCACGATGTTGACTTAAATTTGAGACGCATAGAGCAAAATACGTTTAATATGAAATACCATCGGCACATTTCGTAAGAAAAAAACTTCCACCTATCAACCGCAAAGTAAAACCAGAAAATTATCTGAGAATGAACTTTGAAATCACCATCAAGATTAATTAATTGTCTTTCGCTAGAGTGTAACTCTAAGCTTTGTATGAAGGTGTAGTCTGATCGTCCGGGTGAGTGTAGTCCTGAGAAGGACTGTTGTCGGTGGCAGTGACTGACGTTTCGACAACCTGTGCGGAAGTCATCATCAGAGTTAAGCTTTGTATAGCTTACGCTTTCTTCCTACCTTTTCTGTGGATACATTGTGCTATTTTTGTTTCATCAGTTGAGCGCAAGTCGAGAATGGAAAAAATAGTAATTAAGAAGTGAGTCTGACTCTTTCGTGTTATTAGAAAAAGATTTTTGGAAGCCATTTAAATTTGAAATTGGAATACGAATCATTATCTGTTAGATCTTCGCTAAACTTTAGCTATTTGCGTCTGAACAGAAATTTTTTTTCTCCGATGATATCTGACGGTTAAGTTCGTGCTGCTGAAATAATGTGTCTAAAATATCAACTTTGGGTTCCTCACCTGGGCTTTTACTCAAAACTACACAATCACTTACTACGACAACATCCAATGCAATCTGCAGCAAGGTTTGTGCTTGGAATCGAATCTAGACGAAGAGTGATCTTTGGAACCCGTGTTCGTCAATTTCCACTTTTTGTTGAATACATGTAACAATAGAAAATAAATCCACTCCATTAATTATTTAACGTCTCTTTCTTTTGTTTCAGTAGGGTAACGCTTCGCCAATTTCTATTTTCGTAAAAAAATTTCAAATAAGGTTTCAACTTCCAATTTTTTTTTTCTTTTAATTGGATTTTGATTTTTACAAAGAAGAACACTTCTTGGCATAATTTGAGGATATTTCAGAGTATTCTTTCTGCATATTCTGGTATTTTATAAGATTCTAAGTAAATCGATTAGTTAAACATACTCTTTAGACGATCTTATTTCATATTCAACGGGTTAAAATTAACAAACCAAATCTCCAGGGGCCCTTGAACCGCATTATTGATTTATAGTCGGAATCCCTTTCACATCAAGAAGTTATTGTATACACAGGCAGCCCAAGCTCTCTTTGAGAACCACACAAGGAGCGCATTTTGCATATCGATTTATAAGGATTTGTATGGCATTTTCTACAAGATAGCCATAGAGATAGTTAAAAGTGAAAATATTAAATAAAAATAGCTTACCTTATTCCATATGTGTGTTGCTTGCTCCTGGTGTCGTTATTTTACCGATTTCGCTTGATTTAAGCGGTTTTTTTTTTAATCCTGGCTTTCTCTTCTTAAAGAGAAGACCTTGTCTTACGTGTCAAGCAACACACGTGTCAAGCAACACACGTATGGAATAAGGTAAGCCATTTTTATTTAATATTTCACTTTTAACTATCTCTATGGCTATCTTGTAGAAAATCCCATACAAATCCTTATAAATCGATTTGCAAATTGTGTTCCTTGTGTGGTTCTCAAAGAGAGCTTGGGCCGTCTGTGTTGTATCACGACGAGTGTCACGGCTGGGTAATATCGATTGAGATGGATATTTGTCCCTCCCAAAATTTTTGAATTTAGCTTGACGTGCTTAACCTCTTTAGATGGACCTGGTCCCTCCTTCAGTATTATGTCTGAATGCAGCATTTATTCCTTGGTAGAAAGGAAAATATTTTTTCGTCGAGGTTTTTATCATGAGAAGACACAAATGGCTTGCACTGTAAGAATCCCGGAGAGCTCCACACAATTTCTTCTAATTTAATTAGAAGGAATTGAATGGAGCTTTTTCAGCGTTAGTCGAGGCGCGGCGGGTGTTGTCGCGTATGATCCTTACGAGGTGTTTTTCCCGACGCTCTTCTTACAGAAGAATGTCACATAATGAAAGCAAACCAGAAACGATTGAGGAACAACTACGGCTTGCACATGTCATCAAGTTCATTAAAACGAGGAATGACTCACAATGAAACGTCAGAGAATAAAGAACGAGCAAGGAGAGATTTA